GGCCTGTGACGCGACCGCGGGGGAGAGCTCTGGGATTGGCCGGCGCCGGGCGCTGACGCGGCACCCCTCCTCCCGCAGCCTAATTATTACCGGCCCGGGCGGAGCCGCAGGCCGGAGCAGGCGGGGAGGGGCGGGTCCGAGGCTCGGAGCGCACGGCGATTGGCCGCGGCCCAGAGAAGAGGCGGGCGGAGCGAGGGGAGACGCTCCTCCGCCCTCTCCGCCTCCACTGTCCCTTCCTATGTCCTTTCTGGGGGGCCCCTCCCTCCGCCTTCTCTCTCCCTCCCACAGTGGCGGGAGAACGATTCGAAGGGTCCCGAGGAGGTTATGTGGGTCTGGGGCAGTAATTTCAGGTCCTCGGGTACCTCGAAGGGAGTGGCATGTTTCTAACCGGATTGAGGAGCCAGAAAGAGTTGAACTCCACCTGTCAATTTTGCAAGAAGGAATTCTGAGCTCTCCCACGTGCAACCTCTTGCCCGTCCCCACCGCCCCATCTTTGCAAGCACAAAGTCCGAGGTCTGGGTGTGTATTCGAAGGCGTACTCTGCCCCGCCCTGAGCCCGTGGCTTGGAAAGAAAAAACCTTAAGACTAGAAGCGCGCATGCACAGGTGTGCCATACACATGCAAGGACATACACGCCCCCAAAGCACCCGGCTCCCAGGCTTTCCAAAAGGCCGTGTCCACTTCCCAGCTGAGTGCAGGCCGCGCTGCTGAGCTGGGGCATGGTGTGATGAGGCGGATGGCTCCTCCGCGGTTTCTCAGCCTTGGGGCTCACGTGCCGCACAAGCAAGATGTTCGAGGTCCTTCAGTCCTATTGTGAGTGAGGGGTTCGGACAGGGCTGGCAGGTAGGAGACAGACCTATACTTGGGGATCCTATCTTTATATTTGATGTTTTGTTAACGAGTTTTTGACATTAATTTCGATGTTTAAAAAATACAGTGTTAAAATGTTATTTTCCTTGATTGCTGAGCATTTTGGTGCTCCTTTAAATTTTACACTTGAAGTGAGTATCTCACTATCCTTACCCTAGGTCGGGTCTCTCTTGGGGGAGAGAGATTTTGTCGTGACTCTGTAAAGGTTAGGTATTTTGCAATAGGCCTTTGGGATAAGAAGTGCTTAATTGCAGAGGAGAAGAAAGTCTTCAAGGAGGAGGTGGCATTGGCTTTTGGCACAGAAGAGTGCATACCGCCCAGCCTGCTGGGAACCGAAAGAAGCATTTTCCTGCTCTCCTAAAGAGGCTGGAGATGCCGTGAGGGGTGTGAAGAACAGAATGTGAAGTGCTGTGAGATGACAGACATGCTTTGGAGGGGGCAAAGTAAGGCATGTCCTGTGAAGTTAAGCCTAAGGGGACAGCGGAGGGTCCTTGCCTGGGGCCTAAAGGTATTCAAAATGTGATTTTAAAAGGGATTCAAATTTAATTTTTAAAAACATGCTTAAAAACAATGGGCTAACCCAGCAAAAGAGGATTTTGCCCAAGGACATCATCCCTGATAATGGAGACTAGATTTAGGGTCAATTATTACAGGTCTTCAAGGCCAAATTGAGTAGTTGACTTTACTCAGTGGGAAATGGGAAGCCATTATAGAACAAGAACTTTAAGAAGGGAAGGAAATGATAAATCATAATGGTGTGGTGAATTCTTCTGTTACTGGGAATAATTTTGCAGCCTGGGCCACCTGGGGTACTTTCAGCTGTTCACTGCTTTCGAGTCACAGTGTAGGAGAGCTGTACAGAAAGAATTTAGGATTTTGACCAGGGTTCAAATCCCTTCTCTGACACATTGCCCAGTGCCATGGAGCAACACCCATAACCTCCCTGGGTCTCCGTTTTTTATAAGTTTGGGAACAATCGGCAAACAAAACAAAGTTCACTACCTTTATAGATTTTTCAGTCTAATGGGAGAGATACAAATAAAAAACAATAAGTATTTATGTTGTGAGTTAGACGATGGTAAGTGGTATAGACTGAAGAAAAAAATAGAGCATGGGGGAGGGTAGTCTGCAGTGTTAAACAGGGTAGTCAAGGTAGGCTTCCCTGAGAAGGTGAGGTTTGAGTAGACTTAAGAGGTAAGGTGCAGTCATGAATAACTGGGAGAAGAGCATTCCAGACTGAGAGAACTGTTAGAGCATGGACCCCAAGACAGGGACGGCAAGGAAATTAGTGTTCCTGGAGCCAGGTGAGCTGGAGAGACTAGGAGACGAAGTTAGGGAGGTAGGGAGGGCCTGCACACGTAGGGCCTTGGGGGCCATTGGCTTTTACTGTGAGTAAAAGAAGGAGCCAGAGTATGTTTTTGAGCAGAAATGTAACATGATCTGGTTTAGATTTTGAAGGATCCTCTGGCTGTGGTGTTGAAAGTAGACTAAAAGGGCAAAAAGGGTAGAAGCAGGAACACCTATTAGAAGAGTACTGTCTGCAGCCACGTGGGAGATAAAGGTGACTTGGACCAGGTGACAACAATGGAAGCAGTGAGAGGTGGTCAGATTCTGGGTATATTTTGAAGGTAGAGCCAACAGAATATCCTGATAGATGGGATTTCGGGTGGGAAAGAGAGGAGTCAAGATAACATCCAGGTTTTTTGGCTTGTGCAACTGAAAGGAGGAGCAGGAGGGACATCAGGAGATGTTTTTGCATGCATTGCGTTGTAGGTTAGTACACATCACAGCGGAGATATCAGGTGGCAGTTGGATGTATGCTGGAATTCGGGGGTGGGTGGGCGGGCACAGGTGTGAGGGAGATGCAAGTTTGGGAGTCATTATCATGTAAATAGTACTTAAAGCCATGAGACTGATCAGGAAGTGAGTACAAAGAAGACCAAGGACTGAGCCCTGAGGGCTGACATTGAGAGTTCCTGGCGAAGTACTGGAGCCACAGAGCACACCAGGAAGGAGGAAACAATCTGGTGTGGTAGGAGCCAAGGGAAAAGGCGTGTCAAGGGGGGAGTGTCAAAGGCTGCTGATACTTCAAGTATCCTGAGGACTGAGAAGTGACTGTTGCATTCAGCGACATGGAAGTCACCTTGGAGGGTATGGTTTACATGGAGAGCAGAAGTGTGATGGGAGTGGCAATGATGCCTTCCTTATTAGAGTTTTAAGTTGAGGGTGTGGTGGTTAATGCGATAATATATGTGAAAGAGTTTCATGAACTGGCAAGGATGTGTATTCATAAGGATTTTAGCGTACATTTCTTTTCATTCAGATTCTTGCCCAGCTTATCATTGTACTAACCCACCTGATGCAGTGGGGTATTCATGTATGTTTGTTATGAATTTGCAGAAATTGGGCTTATGTGGACTCATTTGCTTCTCTTTGTTCCAAGTCTGTACTGAGAGATTACAGCATTGCATGATGATTTAGAATTCACAGACCACTGCCATTTATTAGCTTCATGGTCTTAAGATCATGTAAAATGGGGCAAAAACCTACCTCAAAGGGTTGTTATGTGGATTAAAAGCTACTAAGTTTGTATTCATCCAGTGAACGTTGCATACTGACTTTTTGCCTGCCTGTGTTGTTAAGTACTGGGATACAGCAAGAAGGGAGATAAAGGCCGCTCTCTCACTGGTGTGTTTGTATAACACTGCTTATTGGCAGTGTGAACAGAAGCAATACTTTATAGCACAGGCACATAATAGATGCTCGGTAAATGATAATTTGTATTATTATTTCCAGTCCTTCCTTGTGGTGCAGACCACGATATCCGGTGTCTGCTCATCAGAGGCATTCAATATGTCTAAGGCTCATTTTCTTCCCCCAAACAGTCTTGCCTCCTGTAGTTCCAATTTTGGCTAATGGTGACACCATGTTTCCAGTTATTAAAGCTAGAATCTCATCCTTTTCCTTTTTAAAAAATTTTTTTTAAACAGCTTTGTTGAGATTTAATACACATACCATACAATTCACCCATTTGAAGGATGTAATTCAGTATTTTTAGTATATTCACAGAGTTGCGCTAATATCACTATAATCACCCCCAAAAGAAACCCTATACGCATTAGTAGTCACTCCCTTTTTCCCTCAACCACTCCCCAACCAACCCTAGGCAACCACTGATCTATTTTGTGTCCCTATAGATTTGACTATTTTAGACATTTCATAAAAATGAAATACAGTCCATGGTCTTTTGTGACTGGCTTCTTTCACTGAGCATGTTTTCAGAGTTCACCCTTGTTGTGTCAATATTTCATTTCTTTTGTTGCTGAATCATGTTTTATTATATGGCTATGCGGCATTTTATTTATTCGTTCATCACTTCATGGATATTTGAGTTGTTTGCGCTTTTTGCCTATTATGAGCGGTTGTACTCGGATCAGTTGTATACAAGTTTTTGTCAGGACATGTGTTTTCATTTCTCTTGAGTACATACCTAGGGGTGGAATTGTGGTGACTCTAACCATTTGAGAAACTGCTAGATTGTTTTTCAAAGGGGCCATATACCATTTTACATTCCCATCGGGAGTGAGTGAGAATTTCACCTCCCCGTCCTTGACCCAGATCCACAGTGTAGAGAAATACAACAAGGAGCTTGCCAAGAATTTGTGGCCATGTTAATCTATCCACCAACCTACCTTTTCAGTACTGTCACCAAGGGCCTGGAGACTTCTAACCTAAGGTGGGGACTGGCCAGGAAAGGGTGGGGCCAGAGCAAAATCTGAGGCTCTGGTTGGTGGGGAAGGAAGTACCCTTAGAAAAGTTTGTTACAGATTTGTGTTCTTCTAATGACTTCCTATCAGAGTCTAAACCAAAGGTTCTCACCTGTTGGTCTCAGGACCCCATTATACTCAAGAATTATCGAGGACCCCAGAGAACTTTTATTTATGTAGGTTGTAGCTATCAATATTTACTGTATTTGAAATTAAATACTAGACATTTAAAAATATTTATTAATTCATTTAAAATAGCAGTAACAAACCTATTACATGTTAACTTAAAGAACATTTTGTAAATGAAAAATAATTATTTTTTCAGGAGAATGTCAGTAAGAAAACTGGCAGTGGCAGTGTGTTATATTTTTGCACATGTCCTTAATGTTTGGCCTAACAGAAGACAGCTTGATTCTCATATTTGTTTCAGCATTCTATCTGTTGCTGTGTCATACATCATGTAGCTTCTGGAAAACTCCATTATACACTCATGAGAAAGTAATAGTGGAAAAGGTGAATAATGACTGCGATAATAAAAATAGTTTTGACCTTGCAGACCTCCCTCAAAAGGTTTCAGGGACCCCAGGGGCCCATGGCTTACACTTTAAAAATCACTGGTCTAAACCACCATCATGTTAAGATAGTGTCTTAAAATTGTTGAAAGGGTACTGCACTTGAAGAAGATACGCAGGCAAGCAGCTCTGTCAATCCATGAATATGCTTCTGCCTATCTCCTAGCTTTTATTACATTCAGTTGCCAGCCTTTTTCATGACCTTACCCTTGTGTATATACTCTGTCTCTCCCTACCAAACTTCTACTCATCCCTCAAAACCCAACGTAAAGGCCTGCTCCTTGGATAGAGCGTTCTTGACTTTTATAGGCAAAATTAGGACATCTCTCTTACACATTTTCACACACTCTATTCCTCCTTCTGCAATAACACCATGTTAAGTTGATATTTATTACTCAATGTTTGCCTCCTCTCTGATAAACTAGAAAGTTGTTTTTTTAAAGTTTGATTTTTTCCCTTATGAATATGAGATAAGGATGTAAATTGGTCCTTTTCCAAATCTCTAACCAATTAGCCTAACAAATTTATCAATCCTAACCTTCCCCATGGTTTTCTTTGAGGCCTCCTTTATCATATATTAACTTTTTGTACATAATAGATTCTAGATCTAGGCTTTTCTACTAGTCCTGTGATTCTGCTTCAGCAGTGTGTTTGTTTTTATTGGAGACTCATAATATTTTAATCACATGGCTTTATAATAAGTGTTAGTATCTGCTGGAGCTTGTCTTTCCATCATCTTTTGCCCTTTTTCTTCTGAATTTTATTTGAAATTCTGATCTGTTTATGCCTCCAGGTTAACATTAGAATAATTTTGTCAGTTTCCAAGAAATATCCTGCCAAGATTTTAATTAGGATTGCATATGCCTAAAATAATTTGGGGGAGCAAGGAGAGAAATGTTAGTCTTCACAGAATTTGGACAGCCCATCACAACATTTTCTAGGGTTTTTTGTTTTTCTTTCATTTAACTTAAAAAAGCCTCAATATAGTTTGTTTCCTTAATTTTATGTAATGTAGTGAAATATTAAAGAAAAATGCACATGATCATAGTATTTCTCTTTAATAGTTCACTTATGTTTTGTAGATACTGTGGATGAAATTTTATTTTTTTCTTATACTTTCAAACTGGTCATTGATAATATTATAATGATATTTAATTCTGTATATCTATTTTATACCTAACCAATTAATTGATCTTTTAAAGTGGTTTTTAATAATTTTTCAGTTGATTGGGATTTTTGTTGTTAATAGTACATTCTCTCTCCTCTTTCCAGTTTTTATATTTTCTATGTTTCATGTCTTACTGCTGTAGCCAGAATTTTCTAAGGATATTAATAATATTGACAGCATTTGATACTCCAGACTAGTTTCTGGCAAATGCTGATTTATTTGGCATAAACACCTTTTTCAGAAAACGATGCTAAGGAAGTAACTTCTATTTTTATATTTAGTTTTTATTAGAAATGGCTATTGAATTGTATGACTGACTTTTCCCAATCTGTGAAGATCATTTATAAGATCACTTTCATATTTGATCCATGAAGTATTGTATTAATAGATTTACTTATATTGAATTTTTCTTATATTATTTCTCATAGCATGGTGAGTTTTACTTCATCATGTGGTTTAATTACATCTGCTAATATTCTATTTTATATTTTATAATCTATATCTATTTAATATAACCCAATATATCAGTAGTATCAAAGGGGCTTACATTAAATGATTTATAAACTCTCAATCTACCTATGGTAAAGGCTCTTCTCCCTTATCCTCCCTTCCATGGTAATTCCAGGGGACTTACTCAGGCCAAAGATACTTACGCTCAAAGAGAGAAAACCAGAACATCAACCAAATCAGCGTAAGAGTCTCTGTTATTCGTTTGGTTGTTACTGGTTCCGGTGCCCCAGCCGTCCGTGTCCCTGGCAGTCTCTCCCGTGTTTGCTTCCCTCTCCAGCAAATGAGCAGAGGAGCAAAGAGCTGAGCTCTGCTCAGTGGCAGGGCTGATATTCAAACACTCCCTCACTACCAGCAACAAGGAGGCCTGGAAGACTGAAGTCCCTCCCTGGACCGAGTCCTTCCTCTCTCTTCTCCAGGTCCCAAGTTCCACCTGTGTTAAGATGATCAGATACAGGAACACCCATTGCCTTGCTCCATGGACAGTTCCATAAAGACAGTGCCAAAAGTAAGTGTGTTTGTCATTTCCCATGTTCTCTGGATGCTTATAGTCTCCCCAATACATATTTTCATATGTGAGATTGGTTTTCAGTATTATTTCTGATAACCTTCTCAGTCTCTGCTTGACTTACCGACGGAGGCAGGTTTTTCACTCCATGTTTGATCAATTTTGACAATATGATTTTTATAGAAGATGGTCTATTGCATTGAGATTTTCCAATTTGTTAGCATATGCTTGTATGCTTGTACTGTGAGTATGCCGGGGCTAGTGTGAGCTGCCTCCAAGCACTAGGATGTAAAATTGTCTGCTAGGAATTAAACTGCAAACCCAATTCACTAGGATTATAGTAGAGACGTTTAAAGGTTGTAGTCATTGTTTTTAGCTTGCTGACCTCTTCGAGGGTCTGATAAAGGCTGTGGACTTTCTCCTTAGAAAACTGTACAAAATATGTATAAGGAAAACTCTTGTTTTAGGAAGTTCCCATACCCCCTACGACCTGTCTGTGGACCATGGACCTATGTCCACGAACTTCATAGCTAAAGAGAGTGGCCCTCAGGCCTTCCATTGTTAATGTAGCCTTTTTCAGCGCGCTACTGCATCTGAAACAAGCATGTGTCAATTAGAAGCTGGGGAGAGTCAGTCACCATAGAAGCAGAGACAAAGGGGAGATGCGGTCATTGGCAATGCCCATCTCAGCACTCTCCAGGGGATACTTCCACCTGCTGGATTTCATCTGTGCTGGTCTAGCTGGCAAGACCATCCTTGTAAGATGATATGTTTATCCAGTTTACACTTCTCTGCAAGGCTATTTTGATTATTCAGTGCCCAATTTATCTGACTTCCTTTGTTGGGAGTTAATATGATTGGGCTATTTTTTTAGCCTCAGCTCTATTTCTCATTTTTTAATTTGCAAATTGATGCTTGGATTTATGCATCAGTCTTATGAACTTGGCTAGTGTGTGTCAGTCTATGACAAATGGAGCAGATGACAAAGTCAACATTCTAAGATGCAAGATTCAGGGCCTGATGTAACCACATGAGGGTAGGGAATGCCACCCCATGAAGCCTCTCAGGGGACATCCTGCTGGCCTCACCCAGGCAGGACATCCTGACAACATCGTGACAGTCAAGCTAGGCATTCTCTGTAGACAGAGCTCTCCTAAACCTACCTGAGTGCCCCTTTCCTGCATTCTAATTGTAATTACTCCCACTCCTTGACTAGAATTCAGAGGATTATCTTTTTTATCATCAGTTTTAAAATGTACCTTCTGGTATTTATTTATCAGTTCTATTTTTTACAGCTTCTAATTAATTTAAATACTTTATCTTATCTTAATTACTTTCTTCCTAACAATTTCACTAGGACACTTCCGCCTCTCCCCCCCACCCCACCCATCATGAAATGTGTTTTCTCATTATCCCTCATGTGCAGACATCTTCATGATGGTGACTTTACCTCGGAGCTGTGTCGCTTCTGTATGGAGATCCCACATTGATTTCCATGTTGCCTTTGTTTCTTCTCACGACACTCCTCTCAGTTGTATTTTCAGAATTTTACTTCTTTTAGCCCAACTTAGTCTGAGAAACTGTCTAGAAGAGCCAAAGGACACATGACAACGAAATGCAGTGTGGTATCCTGGGTGGGATCTTGGAACAGATAAAGGACCTTAAGTGAAAACTAAGGAAATCAGAATGAAGTATGACCTTCAGTTAATAATAATGTACCAGTATTGGTTCATCACTTGTGACAAATGTACCGTGAGTGGTTGATAGTTGGGGAATCTGGGTGCTCTGTACTATCTTCGTAACTTTTTCCAAATCTAAAAACTATTCTAAAATAAAAATTTTATTTAAAGAAAGACAGCTCTGAGTAACCCATCAGACACCCCTCAGAACCTGCTTCCTCTCCAGTGAATTGCATGCACCGGTGACCTGCTTTGATTGGGCCTTGGCCCAGCAGACCCCATTCCTGGCCACCGCTAACGTGTGTCCTGTTGTAATAAGCAAGACAAATGGATGCTCAGCCCTTGTTGGGAACTCACTGCTGCTGTGCAGAAGACAGGATACTGGATATTTTCTTTCTTTCTTTTTTTACTTAAAAAAGTTTTTTTTTATATTCTCATTTGCCTCTCTGGATACATTTTTGTTTCATATCTTCCCCCCTGCTCTGTGTCCTGAGAGGCTCACTGCCTCTGTGAGCATCCTTGTCCTGGGGCCTTCGGTTGTGCTTGGTCCCGGAAACACTGGCAGGAGATGGGAGGGAGGAAGGAATGTGAGGTTGGGTTATTTATCCTCGGTTCTAGTCCTGCTGGGTCACAGGAGCTTAGTGATGTTCTACCAAAGGCCGCAGCTCCTGTCATCGTGGCTTTTCCATTCAGCTGTTCCCATAACAGCTCTTTCCCTTTATCCCTTATCAGCCAAAGCACAGCCTTCACTCAGCACTCTGGGTGTTGAAGCACCTGGCAACCTCACCGATGCCTGGATACCAGGTGGATGTGTGCTTGCCCCCTCGTGGGCCCTCAGTATGTGTTTGTCAAATGAGTGACTCAGTCAGCGCGTCACAAGATATTAAAGTTACAAAAGACCCTCAGTGGTTAGAACACTAGACACTCAGTGCTGGGCTCAAGCGGTGGCTCCTTCACTTACCCGGTGAGCAAGCGGGGGCAAGTTGTTTAAGTTCTCTGAGCTTCAATTCCTTATCTTTAAAGTGAACATAATATTTTCTTCATTAGGTTGATTAAGTGAAAGACAGTTTATGCAGAGCGCTTATTAGAACAGTGTCTGGCACAAAAGTACTCAGCAAACAGTGATTATAAACGTTATCTAATTAGTTATCTAATCCAGTCATGGCTAAAATTAGGTAGCCTTTTGCAAAAGATAAATGAGTGAGGACACACACAGACAATTAGCAAGCAACTGAAAGGAATTGGCCAGCAAAGTTATAAACAGGTTCAATCTAACCAGGAAGCAAAGAAATGCAAAGTAAGACAAAAGTGGGGTACCATGTCTTGCCTCCAAAATTAGGAAGTTTTTTGCTTTAATAATACATAAGCTGCAAAGGAATCGAGGAAACAAGGACTTGCAGTCATTCAGCGTGGGGCTCAAAAATTCCAGAATGCAAGAGTTTTCGAAATTTAACACGCACCTACCTCTGTCCCAGTAATTGCACTTTTAGTAGTTGAAACCACAGATGTACACTAAAAAGTGTGAATAAGGAAGTGTCTAATGTCATTGTTTATAATAACAACAAACAGACAGCTAGCTAGACAGGCAGAGAGAGAGAGAAAACCAGCTAAACATCCGTCAGTAAGGGAACATCTAACTAAATTTCGATTCAGCCCTCCCATGGATCTCTACGTAGCTGTGGAATTTAATCAAGTTCATCTCCAGGTTGTCCACAACGCAAGGGAGCCCACTGAAGTCTCTTCTTGTTCACCTACTACCCCAATTCCTGCCTCCTGCGCAAGTCTGAATGTGACACACATCCCTTATCTGGAGGTGGAGCGTGCACCCTTTGGAGGCCCAAGGACCCTGGCGTCCGGGGAGGTCAGGGTATATGTGGGTGAGAGTGCAGTTTCCGTAGATGCTCGACCAGGCTGCTGCCTGCGTGCTCTGGAGCACACCCTTGGCAGCGCTGATCAGACCGTGCAGTAATATACTAGCAAAAATATTTTGAGGAAAGACTGCCTTTTTAAAATCCGGCGAAGGGCAAAGGCATTGAGTAGGCTGGGGAAGGCCCTGCTGATATCTACGTGTGTGGCAAAAGCAAGTTGCAGAACAGTAGGTGCAGTGTGATTCCAGTTAAGTAAATATGTACGTGTATGTCAGTACAGAGGAAAGACTGTCACTAGGGGCTATTGCTGGACAGTCTGAGATTTTGCTCTTTTTTGTTCTCTATACTTTGAAGTTTTTGTTATTTGAATATACTTACATATTTCTTGTATAATTAAAAAAAATTAAAATCAGGAGTAACAACAGCAACAACAAAGAAATGCCAAAGCGAGTTTCAATACCTATGTCCATTCAGGTGAATATTTCAGTTTACAAAGAGTCTGTAAGCTACTTGTGAAAGTTAAGTGAATAAAGCAAGAGAGAAAATTGAATATGAAAATATTTCAGTAATATATTAAGTGAAAAAGGCAAGTCACAGAACAGTACTACATTAAGGTCATATTTATGTTAAAAACATAGACACATGTGTATGTATAAATAAATGCCTGAAAAGATAGATACCAAATTGAAAATAGAATTTATTATCTACAAAGGATTGGTTTGAGTGGTAAGAGGAAACTTACTTCTGAAGTGTTTGAATATTTTGTAATGAATATATGGTTTATATTAAAAACTAAACTGTGTATAAACATGTATAAGTTATATGTATTTACGTTTAGATATATGTGCATATGCATACCTAAGAAAATAGATGGGAAATGTTAATAGTCTTCTCTGAGTTGTGAGTAATGGGATTGTGGATAACTTTTACTATCAGCTTTCTTTTTCATGCATTTTTCACATTTTCACCAATGGCCTTGAGTTTTGTGACCTGAAAATAATTTTATTTTTTTAAAAAAACCAAAAGGTTAAGAAAAGGAAAAAACTAATAAAACTGCATAGTATGATCACTGGTTAGTGAAAGTAAACAAAAACTCTATACATGGAAAAAATCTAGGGAAAACTGGAAATCAGTGGAGATTTGGATGTTAAACATTTTTCTTCCTCTTCTGAATTATTGCTGTGTTTACTATTATGAATGAGTATTATTCTGATCTAGAAGAAAGCATAATCTTTTTAATTAAAAAAAATAATACAGTTAGGTGTGCCCAAAGGTCACCATTTTAGAAATAAAGACCCCGACTGGCAAGCAGTGGCGTTTGCTAGCCAGGAGGGCGCAGCCCTGGTGCCTGTCTTGCAGCTGGGTCCCAGAGCTCCTCCCCATCTCCCCCAGAGGGCCGTCACTTTACATAGTGCACAAGTGCCTAACTTGTGGCCCTAGGTCCTAGTTGGCT